TTCTGAAAAGGCTCACTGTTAAGAGAGAGATTCAAGATTAGAATTTTGTGTCATCTTTCCCTTATGAGAAGTTGTTAACTGTGTTATTTTTCAATGAAAGAAGGGTAGGTCTTTCTCGTTTACGCCAGAGTAAGGCCAAATCCATAGGGATTACTGTGGAGCAACTGATGTGCTCTCAGATCACATGCCAGCTGACCCCTCTGGTACCTTGCTTGCCTGTCCTTATGCATTGCAATAGATGTCCATGATGTCTTTGCCTGTGAGAAGTAAACAGCTAAATAATTATACAGTTATGTGTTCAAGCATACCCCATGCCATTATTCCTTGTGGCCATTCTTGGGCTGCTGGGTAACATTATTACGATCATGGACTTAGCTATAGTGGTATCTTTTGGTAACGTAGACTGTGTGCTGCAGCTGGGTTTGAGAGCTTCCACAGTGTCCCTGGAAGACAAATTTGAGGAACTGCTGCCTTTCAGATGCACTTATCGCTCTGATGCTGATATGGGTGACTTGCCTTTACATCATCCTGAACAGTACCTTATAGAATTGCATACCCCAGTTATCCTAATACCTCCATATGCTATTTATGAGTTATAGACCTTCAAATATGTGCACAGAGACTGTAATGTGGAGAAATTTAGCTCTTGAATGTTACCTGGATGTTGGAAAATGTTGATTCTGCTTGGGGATGGGTTAAGTCTTTGCTTGCTGAGTGCCTGAGCAGAAATTGCTCGTCTCTGTTACCTCGTTGGTGCTTTTTGCCCTGTGCAAGGAGGAGCGGGGGAGGAGGGGATGCCCCCGCAGCCCGCGGGGAGGCGGCAGGCTGTCCCCCCCAGCCCGTGGAGGGGAGCGGGGGAGCGGATGTCCCCCAAAATGGCGGCGGCTCCCGCGCTGGAGCAGTCTGTGACGGAAGGACTGCACCCTGCCTGTGGAAGGGACCCGCGCTGGAGGAGTCTGTGAGGAACTGCAGCCCGCGGGAAGGACCCACGCTGGAGAAGTTGGGGAAGGGCTGTCTCCCGCGGGAGGGACGGACCCCACGGCGGAGCAGGGGCCGAGCGCGGAGTCCTCCTCCCCCTGAGGAGGAAGGAGCGGCAGAGACAAGGGGTGAGGAGCCGACCCCAGCCCCCGTCCCCGTCCCCTGTTCCCCTGCGCCGCCGGGGGGAGGAGGTGGAGAGAACGGGGAGCGGAGTTGAGGCGGGAGGGCTCCCCGGGGGGAAGCTGTTTTTTTAAGATTTAGGTTTACTTCCCATTGTCCTGTTTTGCTTTGATTGGTAGTAAACTAGACTGATCTTGTTCTTTCCCCAAGTTGAGTCTGTCTTTGGCCCATGACCGTAAGTGGGGAGTGATCCCTCCCTGTCCTTGTCTCTACCCACGAACTTTTCTTTATATTTTCTCCTCCCCATCCCACCAGGGGGGGAGGAGTGAGCGAGTGGCCTCATGGTCCACAGCTGGGCTTAAAGCATGACAGCACCTAATGACGGGAAGGCTGAAGTTCTTCCCTATTTGAACTGAGGACTGAGAAATCCATGAGTAGGGGAAGAGTTTTGGATCTGAGAAACTCTTGAAGCTGGGTTTGAAAGTCGCTGTGAATTTCCACATCCTGGTCTCTCTTGTGCAGAGAGCCTGTCTCTAAGGTAGCTTTGGGGTGAGGTGCTTGGCAAGCTGTGAATGTTGTTGTCGGACCGCACCTTGGGAGAGGACCTCTGAGGCCAGGAGGTAGGTATTATGCACAAGCTTTTCAGTCTACTTGGAACTGCACTATGTGTATCTTGAGTTTTTTGTACATAAATTCTCCATTTGCCTTACTTTGATTTCTGTGAAGGGTGATTTCCATGTAATCGGCAAATACTTGGTAAGTTCCAAAGAAGCAGAAGGATGATGGGGCAAGTGCTTGAGCCCCAAGGGTCCTGTTGAATTTTGCTGTGAGATTATTGGCTGTTTGATTAAAACCAAATCAAAGTGCCAGAAGAAATTGACTTGAATATCACTGAGACTTTCTGTTCTTCATCAATATTTCCCCTCCCCAGACTGGGTGCTGTAGTTGCTTCAGCAGGAACATGAGCAAAACTCAATAATGACAAGTGTGTGTTTGAGACATTTTATTTCACAGTTATTAAAGTAGCAGAATAGGAAATCTAATTGACTGAAGGTTTCAGGTACACTTGAGCTTTGTGATGTTGCAGGAATTATGTGTATATGTTTCTTTTTAAAATTAAAGAGATAACTGACTGACTCATTAGACTACTATTAACTGTGGTGCTAATGGAAATTGATAATGTTACTTTTAAAAGTGGTGACTGCTTTAAAAACATGGTGCTTTATATTTGTGTGAAAGTAAGTTATCATATTTGCACCCATAAATATGCAGTATGATGCTGGCCATCTCCTTGGTTAGTGGTTTTTTTATAAGATCCTTTTCTAATGGGGCAGTATCCTGGAGAGTGCTGCAGTAATTGATATAAAATTGTAAACTCAAAATCTATTAATGTCTCTTTTAATTTGCCAAGTTAAATTGATGCAGTCCCAATGTACTTTTATATTGATGTATACAGAATAGCCAGATAACTGCTTATAGTCTCATTTTTTCTACTTGTTATTTGTGATCAACTGAGGTAATTTTTTGTAAATGTTAATACGTGGTCTTTTTTACATATCTAATGGAGGGGTTTTTTTTGTAGGATGTGTGCAGTGTAATTAGTTTTTAACTGTAAACATTTTGAATTGAGATTCTAAATAGAAATCATAGCATAATGCAGATAATCACAGAACTTCCTATGTTTCGTGGAGAGAAACTTATATTGAGAGTGGTAGTAAAAAGTCTAGTAGCTGTTGTTTTATTTTACCTTAGTGTTTAAAAAATATATGCTATTTTATGTAAAGTTAGCATGGAAACAACTAACTGGGAGACATTATGTTGGAAATATTTTTTTCCTTCTTCATGCAGAGTGCACAGTGTTTGCGAATGTCACACGTGTGGGCAAGCTCTAGTATTTCTTTGATTCAGAGAGAGTTTGTCACTCCTGGCAAGAAAAAAATCGATTGCTAGTAGGTGTGATGAGGTTTAGTTTGAAGATAATTGGAGTTGGACTGTGACAAATCCTTAATTTTAATTAATAGGAACAATTTGTTGTGACAAGACACCCCTAATTAGCTGACAATTTATAACTGAAGAAGAACCGGGATTGACTTAAAAGTTTAGACACTTCAACACATTAAGTTAATGTAATTAAAATAAATGAGAACTGAATTTGGCACTCCTAATTTTAATTATGCAAGAGATACATTTGCATGTCACTTTGTGCTTATTTGAGCATGTTGTATGTTAGTTCAGGCACTGTGGATATTATTCTGTCTATGTTTTTAAAGTAGAAACACTCTGTTCAGCAAAGCTTAAATAATTCTCCAGAATTTCACAAACGTCTTAGATGATCTTAAGGCAGTGTTTAGTCTTTCTATGTTGTTTTGGGAAAAAGAAAAAAAAAAAAGTTGAAAATTTCAGTTCCACATTTCTAATTTAGCTAATTTGAGAAATATGTATATGAACTTTTAATTAAAATATTTGATTATGAATTTATGCAGTCATCTTAACCTGACTTTCTGGGAAGTCTTGTTGGAGTAGTGTTTTGATGGAGGGGGAATATTACTACTTGGTAGAACTTCATGTACTGTTGCTTTCATATTTCTGCTGCCACACCTTGTCTGCTTCTCTATTTTATATAGTAATGGCACACTTCTTTAGATAGTAGTTACAGAGGAAAAATGGAAATGTTTAGTGTAGGAAGTACACAGAAATATGCAGCTGAAATAAAGGGGGAAGTGTACTTTCGGATTTGGCAGAACAGTATTTTCCAGCAATTTGCGTCCTATTGTTTGGGAAAACCTGTTGCATTTATTTTGGTGCACAGGGTATTGAACATGATTTCTGTAGTTGTTTCCAGAGGTTTACAGTGCATTAATGGAATTAAAAAATGGAAAGGCACCATTTGCAATGCATTTTTTGTGTTTTGTACACAAAACTTGTCGGAAATCATAATTGAAGTGCAAAGCCTCGATGTTACGTTTTCGTTCTGGCTTGATGTCATGAGAGAACATGACTTTAGTGATTTATGCTGGGAAGTCTTTATGGAGAATTGAAGAGAGAGTTGCTGTTCCCTCGCAGCGGTACGTGATCTCCCTGGTGGGCTGCTCAGCTCGGCAGCGCCTGGTTGTCGTCCAGCCAGTCCGTGCACACGCGTCCCCCAACCTGCAGCTCTGCAGCCCCCGGTCCTGCTGAGGCGTGCGTGGAGGAGAGGAGGATGCTGTTGGGCTGTCGGGTCAGACTTGTGGGGAAAGGGGAGGAACTGTTGCTGTGGATTGTATGGCGTGTCAGGAAGAACAGAGAGCGTCATTAGGAAGGCTTCTTCATGGTACTGCCCCGGGATAAATTGTGTAGGGCATTCAGGATACAAAAATCCATGGGAAAATGGGTTTCATTCTGAGACTGGTTGCTAGTGAAAGTGTTAGCTTTCGAATGCAAAGTACTGCTACCTGACTGGAAGAACAATAATAATATTCAAGTGTCGTGTAAATGTTAAGTATTAAGCATTGATGTAATTACTGATGTTCTCAGTTTCTTCAGCATTTCAACCCCATGAATGTGAGAGATTATATATCATGGTAATTGTTTCACAGTTTGAAACTGTACAGAGACTATATAACAATTTTTTTGTTTACTAGTGATTCTAATTTGCATTCGTAGGACTGGAAAGTAATACAGTGAGAATTGTGATTTCTAAAAATTCTGAACCATAGAATATACTCCTTCCTGTGGAATTCTGGAAAGGAATTCCAGAAGCTACAAACATTTCACTTCTGCATTAGCTCTGCTTCCTGAAAACACTACAAAACCATTTTTGTTCTGAGGCTGTACATTTTCATTTATCTTAAATTTTCTTATTTCTTTCCAGATATTGATGTATGAAATAGCATCTAAACTACTTATTTTCTTCTCTTCCAGGCAGCTGAATCAGGAATAATAAAAGTGAAAACTATAGCTGCACGGAACACTGATATTTTGGCAGGTAATGATATGCAATGCAATGGGAAAAATAAACTTGGTTACAGATCAAAATGTTAAAAAGATGTCTTGGATACATGTAATAATCCTACATGTCTTTTGGTGTGTGCTATTCCAGTGATGCTTTACTTTTGGGCACCTAGCAAAAAATCCAGTAGCATAAGAATTTTTTAATACTACTAGTGTTTCATGTGAGTACTATACTGATGCTGAGGAAGGTCTCCGTTTTCAGTTGTGGCTCTACAAAAGTAATCATCCACTTAGAAAAATAGCATGAAATACTTAGACTCCAAATTCTCGATGTTTTATTCTCTGTGTTCACCACAGCTGTTGTTGAGTGCTGTGTGTGGAGTTCGGCAGTATGATCCTCATCTGTGTGTTTAGTATGAGAGTCTATCTAGCCTATGGAGACTTGTACCTGGCAGGCAAAAATCCATCTTAATCTGAGACAAGGTCATTCAATTTAAGATGTACCGTTGCCTTGAGGGAGTTGCAGCTTTGTAAATGCTTAAAACAGTATCTCTGACTTTCTTCAGCTTTGTTAAATGGCATGTAAATTGATGGCTTCTTGCCAGTTGCTGGTAAAGCCTTTGGGCCAGCTTTGAATGTCCCTGTATTAATATTTGAGTGTCTATCCCAGCTGTAGTCAAAATCCTTAAAATGCTGAATTATTTGAAAGATCCAAATGAAATAGATTTAAAGCTATTTCTTGTTTTGAGGTATGTAAATCAGATATTGGTAAGGAGGCACTTTCTAGAATTATTTGAAGTAGCAGTCCCACCCCTCAATATTTCACTTTAATGCCTCTCTTTTATTTGTTTATTTTCTTTGTTTTTACTGCTGTCATGAATGCTGACATAAGTGGGAAAACTATGCCAGGTAATGTCAGCTATATCAAAATACACAAATGAACAAGAGAAATCTCTAGTTAGCCATTTGGGAAGCTGTCAACATTCTTTGGTGTATTACCGTGTAAAGAACTTTATATTTTAGAAAGCTAGTTTGTAATCCTGTGAAATTCTTTGTTTTTTAATCTTCATTTCAAAGTGAAGAGATGTGAAAAGTCATTGATTTTTGGCATGGATAGGGAGTCTTTACTTTAACCTTTTTGAGGGAACACTTTCTGGTAGTTGGTCAAATTTTATAAGTACTTTTCCTTTGGAAGGTTTAAACCAGAATGTAGCTAGTATTTATTTCATTAATCAAAAAACCCGTGGAGATCTGTTGTTACGAGGTTTGGCAAACCAGCAGGTCCTAAAAGTTACTTGGATTTGTTAATCTTTGCTAATAGGATAATAACTTTTTTCCCCAGTAAGAAAGAAACTGTGGAACAGAAGGGAACATATGCTTTGCCTGCACATTATACTAACATTCCACAGTTTCAGTGCAATGCCACTAAACAGTCCCAGTTCTTTATGGACTCTTGTATTTTTTGAGGTATCAGTTGTAACCTATCTTGTAGTTAAGTTAATGTCAAGATCTCTGTTGTCTCCTATCTGCTATTCAAAATTTTTTTGGAGGAAGATAGTATGTATACTTTAGTAATAATAAAGCTGCAAAAGGCTACTGTAATTGTGAAATCTAGTGAAGTAGATACTTTTTTTGACTGCTGGATCATTTAGGAACACCTACTAGACATTCTAGTAATCCAAATAAATATTTTGATCAGGATATGATTTTTCTTTATATTTTGATATAAACTGTCATTTCACTAATATAGATGACAACAGCCATATCAGATTGTTTTGAGTGAGCTGATGTGATGCTTTCTTGAAGCATTACACTGTGTAGGATTATAATTTTTAGGAAAATAGATGCAATCTTAAAATCTATTAAAATCTTAAAAATATTTTTTTTGTCTGGTGAGATGTGTTTAACGTGCCAGAACTCTGAGGTCATTGATGGAACTTCTTTCTTTCTCTTGGAAAAGTTAAGTTGAGCAGTTTCAAAGTCTTCATTCTTGGCAGTCTGTATGTGCCTGTATAATTTATTTATGAGGATTTGAGTAATTCCAAAAGAGAAGTCAGCTTGTGCTTTATATTACAGGAGATAGATGTGAGAAATTACTTCCACGTGGCTCTAGGATGTGCAATTCATACTTTTGTTTTAGAAGTGATTTTAAAAAAATTATAATTATAATCTTGTTGATGGAATGAAGGAGTAAGTTTTACTTTCCCAAAACTTCTTTTTTGATGTGGTTCATTATGATAAATTTCTTTTTTTAATATATTCTTACATAATTTTGGTAGCAAAATGGAAGCAGGCCTGGATATAAGAAAATTTTCATGTATTTTAAGACTGAAGCTGATATAATGATCGGTACCAAACCAGATCTATGAAACACTGATTTTTCACCTTCATAAAGGAAAAATCCTTGTATAGATCCTGTTGTGAGATTATTGTTTTGAATGGGTTATAGGAAAAACACTGTAAAAGTCTTAAATTTTTCTTTGTCTTGTTATTTATTAACTCTCGTGCCATTTTTGGCATTCAGAACTTCATCATGAATCTTATGTTAAGTATAAATGTTTTTTGGTATCTTTTTAAAAATTTTGCTTTCTTCTTTCTGCTTGATGGTTAAAATTTAGTGGCAATTCAGAATTCTATATGAGTGAAGAAGCATTTGTGCCCATGTTAGAGTGGGCTCCCTAGGCTCTATTGGCCATGTGTTGTAGGTGTTCATAGACTATAAAGGCAGCTTAGACATCAAGCTCACATGTAGACACTTGCAATTAGGTGCCTGAATTACATGTCTTAATTGGGAACAGATTTCCATTTTTTATGAAGTAGCCACTGTTTTGTTTTTAATTTGAAAATCATGGAGTGTTTCATAAGAGAAAGGTATTGGTGGATATGGTTTATACTGTATATTTTAAAAGCAGGTTTATTTGCTTCATAGTTAAAAAACCTGTTGAAATCAAGGCAGATTGTTAAACAGGCAGTGAACCTATGTATTCATTCACATTTATGCTGACAGTTTAACTGTTTTTTATAAGGCATTGAGTGTGAGGTCAGCCTCTGTCAACTGGACAATAGAGCCTGACAAAACTATGGACTGTATATGTGTTAATATCACCCTATAAGAACTATTACCTAAGAGAAAGTAGGCACCTACAATTTATACTAGCCTATTCTTTTCATAGACACTTATTAGTCATATTAGTTAGTGCTTCAGCTGAAAAATATCACTAAAATATATTTTTGTAGTTTTTACTTTGATGTTTCATTTTTTTTTTCCAGATCAGTTGTAGTGATACTTAGTAATAAACCCTATTGTGAGCCAAACTTCAAATTGCTCAATAGAAAAAAAAAAAAAAAATCATGTTTGCATGTTTGTGTGAGAATGTATTTGTTGTTTGTTTGTGGTAAGATCTGTGCTCTAAAAATGTGTGTGAAACTTTTTCATGAACACATTTCTCTTATTACACACAGACTAAAACATAGTGTATGACATTCAGTATAAGAACACACATTGAACTTTCAACTGTGAGGAAATTTTTAGTGTCCAAAATGGTGATGACTGGCTAAATGGCTAAAATCTTAAAAGTTTGCATGAATCAACAACCACGCCTGCAAACAGAAAAGCATTCATCGGTCAGAGTCATGCTTTCCTTTCATCTTTCAAAAATATTTTCTTTTTTAATTTTATGAAGTTTATCTCAGATTTCTAGAATTTTATGGGGAAAAACTTTTTAAATGCCAGTGTGGAATGTTGTATTCATTGTGAAGTTTTTTCTCCTCAAAAGAAAAAAAAAAAAGAAAAAAAAAGAGACATTCATGAAACTTGTGTTTTTTCCTGACAAAGATTCATTTTAAGAAGCTGCCCTTTCTCACTAAAACACTGGTTGAAAAATTCACAGCCAGGTGTACATACCCAGGACACAAACAGTCCAGTCTTTCTCCTCCTGTTTTGTCAGTGCCATTTTGCTGTTCCCCTTTGTGCCGTGTACTTTGGTGTGTCTCTCTGTGCCACACTTTGTGTTGCTTTTGAATTCGGTGCGGAGGTGAGGCAGAGCAGGAGGAGGCAGCTACCAGCCAGAGACTGGTCACTGCTGCAGGGCCAGAGAAAGCTCTGGGGTGGGCAGAACCTGACAGCATCTTACTAACCTGATGGACTCTAGGTGGACGTTTTGGATTTGGAAAGTCACCTGAGCATGTAAGGGAGAAGGTGTGTGGGATTTGAGCCTCAGCCAGGGTAATTGTGGAAGTGAGCTGTGGCAGCCCAGCGTCTGTCTTCACTTGGCTTTTCCCTGTGGTGCAAGAGTAAATCCCAAATTTCCAAGACTGGAGATTTCTTTTTGTTAATAGGTATGATTAACAAATTTTGCATTGTACTCTTCAAAGTATTAAACACTGACTGCTTCCATATCTCTTTTTGAAAGCATTGAAAGAGAACAGCTCAGAGGTAGTTCAGCCTTTTCTAATGGGTTGTGGAACAAAGGAACCAAAGATCACTCAGCTGTGTCTAGCAGCCATACAGAGGCTTATGTCCCATGAAGTTGTTTCAGAGGTAAGATCAATCTTTATATAAATACGTAAATATTTCAGTGTGAGAAATACGGGCCTCAAAATGAAGGTGAATGGGGGTTTTTTTGAGGCTGTTTGTATTATAATGAACAGAGTCTGCAAAATATTTTACTCCTGTCTGTTTTTAAAAAAAATGTAATTTAAACAAAAACCTTTTTGACCATAAAAAAAGAAAAAAGAGGTGAGGAAACACTACTAACTTCTAGAAGGAAATTCATGAAAATTCAAACCAGCTCATTTAGTTTGCATTCTTAGCTGCAGGAACAGAACATGTAATGGTCTTTGATAAATGTAATTCTTAAAGTTGCATCCACAAAATTTACTCTGTGTGATAAGGTTATGTATTACAGTTTTGTTACATTTTACTTTTAAAAATAAGATGAAATGGATGCACATTTCCTGCAACTGCAAATGTCATGATATATTATGGTACTGCATATATGGTGTGTTAAGAAGCTGGTGAAAATAATACTGTTAAAATATACCTTCAACTGTGCTTGCATAATGTAAAATTACACTGTTTTTTTTCTCATATGAATTAATTTTGAGGGTAAAATGTCTTTGTACTGTCTCTTCTATATTTCCAAGTAGAAAATGAAATATGCACTTTAATTTGGACTACACATTAAGAGATTTCTGCTGTCAGTTCTTTAAAAACATTTTGGGAAGCTTGTGACAATGAAATTGGCTTTATGTTCTCAATGTAGTCCTATGATATAGCCAAACAGGCAAATTCCATTACGATATGCGTTTATGAGAGTGCTAATCTTACATGTGTACACATGATATACCACTATGTAAACATCTTTATTGTTGGCAAAAAAATTATTTCTTTGTAGGCTGCAGCAGGAAACATTATTAATATGCTTTGGCAACTGATGGAAAATAGTCTTGAAGAACTTAAATTGCTCCAGACAGTTCTTGTACTTTTAACAACCAATACAGTTGTGCATGATGAAGCACTGTCCAAGGTAAGAATTTGTTAGTGCCAACTGTAGTACTTACAATATCCAAAAGGAAAAACGGGGAGAAATTTTACATATGAAGCATTTGGAAATAATGGAAGAGGAGGGGGCTTTCTTGATTCTGTTGTGTCCCTATTGTCTTTATATCTAGACTCTGAAAACTGGATTTCTTTTAGCTTCCTTTTCAATCTGTTTTTTTAATTTCTCCACAATAATAAATTTTTGACTTAATGGAAGCTTTAAATAAAAACACTGGGCTAATGCCTGTCCTTCTCATCTGTCCTATGTATGTTTTCGAACTGAAATCAGAGCACATAGCGCAGTGTAAGCTTTCACTAATAAAGCAAATATTAGAAGAAGCTGCCTGCCACCCTTCCTTAAATCTCTTTTGGAAGCAGTCCAGTTATTGCTCTTTCAGTCAGAACTGAAATAACTTTCTTGCATAATTTTAAATATGTACCATTTTGGATATTATGTTTCAACTAAGACAAAAAATAAGGATTCCGATCCATTTTAATCTTAAATTACTAGATACTTCTCTTTGAAGGAGCAACATTGTTTACCCATTTGTGAATTGTGAAGTTCTGTTTAAAATAGGTTCCTCTTCTAGACTACGTTTTATAATTTTTTCCTCTTTAACTTAAGAAAGATTTTTTTCGGTTTTAAACAAATCGTTCTAAATTGCTGTCTTTATTATGCTCTGCCTTCAGCGTATTGGTTTAATATCAGAGCAACATTTTTTTTGAGAGAGAGAGAGGGACAGAGAGGGAATAGAATTGAAGAGTATTTTTGAAGGCATTTTGTTATGGTGGAAGGTTTTCAGTTTTTCTTTGCTTCTGGTTTTAATGAAATAAGTTCCTAGCTGATTAAATGTGTGGATATTAAAATCATTATTAATCTACTTAACCAAGGGAAGGAAAAACACGAAAGGAAAAAAAAGCTAAGTTACAAGGGTCTGCTGAAGGCAAGAAGATAATGGAAAATTTATAAAACCTATAAATGGCAGTATAGAAACTTGCTAAGGATTGAATGGTTTGTCAGTAGGTTCTTTATTTACTCGAGTAGTCAAATTATGTCAAAGACTCTTCAACACTACCTTGTTTCTTTTGTTCCAAATAACGCTCATTTTCCAAATGAGATGCTATGTTCTTGGGCAGAAGCATGAATCCAGGCTCTAGAAGGAGACAGTTGCTGTTTAAGTCCACCATACCTTTCCCTTACGCATATCACATATCTGCTTCTCATCACTTCCCGTATTTATTCTTCTTCCCCTGCCTCCATATACTCCCCCCGCCCCCCCCC